CCATGAAGATGCTCAGCAAGCCACCCTCGGATTGCAGAGGGCTCTTTCAGACAGCCATATGGACCCAGGCACTGTCTGCTGCAGCACTGCTCACCTGCAACTCTCTGGGCTGGAATTTGTAAAATCTCCCAAAAATCCTTCTGTTCCTGTGTCACATTTTTGCTTCACTTTCTCCCTTTCCAATTTCCTTATCCTTACTTTCTTCAGACAAGTTTAAGCTTGTGCAAATCCCTTCTATCTCTCCTACACAGCATTCAGAGTTTCCATGACATACGAGCTAGCAGTTTGATAATATTCAATTACTTTTGCTGTTGACCACTATTTCTCTTTTTTGAATAATGATTTTTTTCTTCTGCTTTCAGTGGTGCCAGAAACTGAGCTTCTGCCTTTTCTCTCTTTCCTCTTTAAATGTTCTTGCACTCTGCTACTTAAGCCACTTCCTGGCTGCAACAGTGATTCCACTCTAGGTAACTTCGCTCTCAAATGTTTTCGCATTAGTAACTGGACTGGAGACTGTTTATTTGAAAAGGGTGTATTTTCCTAAGATCTAGCAAACAAAGATATGGTTGATGCACACTTTCAAATGCAGTTGCTGCACCATATACATAAATGGAGTCAAGTTAAACCAAATGCAATTGCCAACATTTCCCGTGCTCTTTGTGCATATGATTGCACATGACTGCCGATTCTCATTCATTGCTCAGAAACTCAGGCCGCTGGTACATCTCCTTGCAACAAAACTGCTCCTGAACCTGCACTGTTAGCATGAGACTACGGATTCTTCAACATGACCATATCTCAGCAGAGGAGCTTTTCTTAATATCTGTTTTAGTTTATTAGAGGCATCTTCATGGACATTTGTCCATTCAGATTCTGCTTCTTGAAACTTGGCTCAAACTAACTGTTAATACAACAAGATTTGGAATCAGGTTAGCCAAATGCTTAATACTCAAGAATCTCTAAAAATTGTCCTTATTATGAGGACTTGGCATTTCAACAATTGCTTCAATGTTAGTTTGATCAGGTTTCATTCCTTCTGCAGTTAAAGTATATCCCAAATAATTTAGTTCTGTCATTACAAATCTGCTGTTCTCACTATTAATTTTCAAATGCTTTGTTCTACAGCTTTCTAAAACTTGCATAATTCTTTTGTGCTTTGTTCCTTTCCCAAGTCAACATTATCACAATTCTTCGCAATTATAGCAACTCTTCTTAATCCTGCAAACCTTGACTGTATGGCTGTATTTTGATACACCTGTGGAGAAGATGACATATCAAA